TTGCTTTATTTTCTTATTTTCTTTACTTTTAGGTAATTAAAAATAAAAGATAATAATTGTTCAACAAAAAATTGACTTTTCAACAATCAAATAGAATGAAACTATTTCATTTTGTAGTGAGCAGTCTGCAGTCACATAATCGTGCATCTAGCAAATTATATGACAGTCATCCGTTCCTATACAATATTGAATGAGAGAAATGTGTAAGATTTTAAACTTTTTCCTCACTTAAAAGTATCTAAGATTGTCGAGTCGGTCGTACCGATCATACGACCTTGAGAAAATTTAGAATTAATATAAAATTCTAATCAGAAAGCTCCAGACGTAATGTTATTGCTTCTGGTTTTCTTAAATTATCATAGATGAATAGATAAGCTAATTAATTAAGCCGAAAAGTAAGAGGAAAAAAAAGTAGATATTTACTCAAAAAGTAATTAAGTATAAGACCAAAACTATTGTTTATTGTTTGGTGGGAAGTAATTACTTATCAATCTGGCAAAATATAGTATTGAATTGTCTGCATAATTACATTATCTAGTTTAAGTGCTAAAATTTAGGTGAAACAGACTAGAGTTTTTCATACATTGAAAGGATTGAATGTGAAAGTTGATAGTCACTTGTTTCTCATCAACATGAATCATTCAAAAAAACGAAGAATATTGTCTCAATTCTCAAGGTTAGTATCTCGACTCGATTAGACATGTCATCTTTTATCTAATGAAGTTTGAACTCATCACCACTCAAAAACTTAGTGAACGAGCATTTTTCATTCATTCGTATTTAACGTACCAAAAATTATTTAGGTACCCCATCAAATTATTTATTCTACACGTAAATTTAAAGTTTTTCCCTACTTTTTAACCATACATTCTCCAAAAACTAAGTCTTGCATGCAACATATTTCATGAATATGAAGACTAACGATGTTGAACCATCATCGAGGTCCTTGTATGTCTAATTGTAAAGCTAGACCATGCTATACAACTTAGGTTGGTGCCTCGAATTTGGTACAATACGCAATTAACTATATTTTTTTCTCAATAATTTTCGGTGCATAAATCCCATCATAGCGAAACAACTAATAAAATCTAATCTTTGTAACTTTTAGTCAGTGAGTTAAAACTTGAACGCGGCTCTAGCATTGAGATGTAACAATGTAAATTTTAACATCCAAAAAGACGGATTAACCAATCAAGACCAACTTGCTACGATATAGTTGGAGAGGCTCTTCATAAATTTATAAGTTGGGATTTACTTGCTACATTTCAAATAGGTTAGGGACCTAAACTGCAATAATATCTACTTCTTAATTTTTGATTTCTTGATGGTAAAATCACTAGTATTGTACAGTAAATTTCACCTTATCAAAAAAGAGAATGGTTGATGCGTCCTGCATTATGAGTCAAGGTTATGCATGTTCAACTCGACTTGACTACTTGTTCTTCTTGATCGCAGTTCTATCCTGTGCAGCCCGACTTGTGAAAGAGAGAATTGCAAATTCCTCTACTTATCAAGTGTATGCATAATCGTATGTGAATTAGTTTTCAAGATTTTCTTGTAAATGATGCTTCTTTCGTGGTTTATAATGTCGTGTTAATTATAATTAAAAATTAAGTTGTTTGTATATTTGTTTTACTATCATACTTTTTTTTCTTATTGTGACCCATAACTAACTCGTGTTAAAAACAAGAATTAATTAAACGGTTGCTTAATTAACATGAACAAATTAGAATTGCTTTTTTTTTTTTTTTTTNCATGAACTGAACCGAATCGAATTGAGCGATTCTTCTTAAGTTAAATACTCGAACGAGTATCTGAATCGAGAATCGATAGATTTGGTTCGATTCTCGGTTCTAGACCAAGAATTGAATAAGAACCAAATCTCCCTAATTTTTTTTTATCTTAAGTAAATCAAATTTTTTAATTTTTTAAAATAAATGTACTAACTAATTAATTTAGTCCAAATCCAAAATATGATTTTACTATTTCTAATTTTCAGCCAAGCCCAAATTAATCAAATTGACATAAATTTTATCCAAAACTCTTATTCTACCTTAGGTATGTAGGACCCACATAATTACATAGGACTTTTTTTCAAAAGAAAAAAGAGCACAAACAAATAGTTAATAAGGCAATTCAACCTTCTAAGCTCAAGCTTCTAAAATGAAAAATCAAAATAAAATTACTAAGTAAGAAAAAAATTATTTTTAAATAAAAGAATTTAGACTCGTTGACCTATGTGGATACAACCCACCAAATTTTAGGTCATGTTACACTATAATAGTTTTTAAGCATCGAGCGTTAATAGAGATACATAATGCTAGCCTTACAACAAAATGTCGGTCCAATTTAGTGATCTTCATAAGTACGATAATATTTTATCCTCTATTTGGTTTAACTAAAAAAAATAATAATTTAATAAATTTTATTAAAAATTGTGGATCACGTAAAATACGTGATTAAATGAGTTTCAAAAAATGGAAACCAAACACATCCTTAATTTCACAACCCCAAGTTATAAAGCATGTTTGGCTAAGTAAAAATGTTTAAAAGATGATTAAAAATTATTTATTTTGACTGGAAAAATAATTTTTTTTGAAAAATGGACATTTGGTCAAGCTTAAAAAGTTTATAAATAATTAGAAATTCCTTGTCCAGAGAGCATAAAACCCAGAGAAAAATCATTCATTCTTCATGTGATTATACATTTCTCTCTCTATATATATATGTTGCACACGCCTTGGAGCTGATTGTTTTCTCTCTCTAAAATCAAAGGTAAAAGACAGAGATCTCAAATGCAAAATGCTGAATCAATGAACACTACACCCTGCTGTTATTCTGCCTCTCCAGATTTTTTCTGCCATTTTTGTCTCCATTACCATTATGTATATGCTTTAATCATAAATATTGCATTGGCTATTAGTTTTTCGAATTTTTGTTTTTCTGTTGTTGCATTAAATGGGGAGTGTTCAGGAAAAATTCGGCTGAGGTCGCTTTTCCCTTATTGATAAATTATTTTGTCTAGATATTCCAAGGTTTCAATTCACATTCTTCTTCTATGCAAAACCCTAATGCGCGAATCGTTATTTTGATTTTCAAAGTCAAAACCCTATCCTATGCCTGCCCATTTCTCTCTTTGAGAATCCTGATGTATGCTAATATTTGCATTTTATTTCAATTTTTTTATGATTTGTAGAGTAATATGTGTGTGTATATTGATATGAAGCGCTAATGGTTGTTGCAGAGTTCATAGCTATCAAGTCATTTCAAAGCTTTTTTCATTGCGCTTCCAGTCAGAGATTGATAGAAGAATATCAAGTGGATTTATAATCAGTAAAGTTTTCTACAAGTTCTTTTCTAGTAGTGATTTGATGATCTAGGGCTATAGTAGTAGCTAGTTCCGAGTTAACTCAACTGAACTTGGTCTTCTCGAAGCTTCGCCGTCTTCTATTGGTGATAAATCTGGTGGAACAATTTTAAGGTTTCATTTGCTGGAAGATGAGTCACTCTGAATCGTCAACATATAAGCGAAGAATCGCTCCGTTCACAGCGTTTTTTGCGGTCATACTGCTTATAGTTATGGGAATTCATACAGGTCAGTGTTAATTGATACCGGTGATGTTTGCACTTTGTTCAGATTTGTTCAAATGGCCTCTCTTTCAGCCAAAGAAGACTCCCTGAATATTGATTTCTCTTTAATTTTTGTTCCTTTATTGGCCGATTTAATCATTCTTTTTTTTCGGCTTTAAACAATCCATCCACTTTTGTTCTTATCCTTTTAATTTATATTTTTGATCTATTGTTTGTCTTCAGCCCAGCATTTTGATGATGGCTCTATAGAATCAGCTGCAAACACTTCTGCTTCTCATCGCAAGCTTATGAATCATGGTAAATCAGCATCATTTTAACTTATTCAATCTATAATTAATTTTGGGTTACATTTCAATTTAACCAGAAAATTCAAGCAGTCCGTACAGTGTTCAAATTCCTGCATTTATGATTATTTTGGATTTATGTATGAACAAAGAGACCAAAAGAGAGATTCTCAGATTGCCAGGGGATATACTGCGCATCTGCATAATAGCACAATAGCATGTATGTATGCATGCATGCATGTGTATATATATATTTATGAAACAGTCTCACAGAGACACGCACTGAGAGTCTGCCACAGGGTACTGTGCACTACTTCAGGTTTGTGTCTCCTTTTTCTTGTATCAGTTGTCAGGTACGAATCTGTCCATTTTGGTGGCGCACCACCCCCAACGCCCCTCTAGCTTTTTCTCTACGTGTCTTGGTAAAATGCACCCAATGCTCTACAATCCCCTGAAGAAAAAGAAGAGTAGCCCTAGTGCCTACTATTGTCTTTTGAAGTCCCATGTTCTTGATTTCTTTCGATTTGGAGGACAATTACATGCACGTGTGCTTTGATTGGGACTTTTTAGTTTACATTTCACAAGTTATCTACTTTAAGTTAGCACTGTTAAAAATGGGGGACAATTGGAAGGGTGGGATATATCAAAAACTAAACAATTAATGACAACAACTAGGCCATCAAAATTAAAGCACTTGAAATTAAAGATTGATGTGGTATACGTTTTCTTGAAGTATTATGATATTGAATCAATTTTCTTGTTTGTATTTGCTTAACTTTTCAGCAGCAATGGAAAAGAAACAAGAAAATGAAGAGATAAAGGGGAAGGGAAAGACACGAGTAAAGCCCGAACGCATATGGGGCGACCAGTGTTCGAAATCCGATATAGTGATAAGCCAGGGGGCCACAGAATCACTGCCAAATGGGATTCCAACGTACACTGTGGAGATCATGAATGTATGCACTTCGGGGAGCGACATTTCAGAGATACACTTGAACTGCGGTTGGTTCAGCTCAGCTCGACTGATCAACCCTCATGTCTTTAAGCGGCTCAGCTTTGATGATTGCCTAGTTAATGACGGTAAACCCCTTTCCATTGGCCGCACCCTCTCATTTCAATACGCCAACACCTTCCCTTACCGTCTATCTGTCTGGTCCGTCAATTGCTGACTGAGTGTGCCACTCGACTACTAATTCATGCCGATGATATACCACTAACAGAACGTATGTATAGGACTAATACTTCGAGACAAAGCAACTTAAAAGCAGAGAGAAGTTGAAACTAGGATTCAATTTTGCCATTATCTGCTTTATTTTGCTTTAAATGTGCTAATGGGAGAATTTTTGGGAGTCTGTAAATGGGATTATCAATTATATATGCATCTGATTTTCTGTTTGCAATTGATTGCGTATGGATTATAATTGAATCGGTTAGCACTGCAGATCTAATCTATTGATCCTAAACATAGTCAAGTGAATATATGTTTCAACTACGATGCAAAGCATTGTGTCTATCTTAATGCTTTCGAATTACATGGCATAATCATGCGTTCTTACGTATCGTCGTGACATAGGGTGCCATCTATGAGTGTAAACACTGGTTGTCAAAATTGTATTTAATAGAATCGTTGGAGGAGTCTTGCGAATCGAATTAATAGATTATATTGCAAATAGTAAGATTCTACTGAATATTGCATTGAAATGAACACAAAAATAAAAAGTAGAAATTTAATGAAAACTTAAAATTGTTTAATAGTAAGTAAAACTTAAAATCGAAACATAGCTCATACCCAAATTTATAGAAGTGAAGCTGCCTAGCCATCCAGTCCAATTACTTTGATTTTACTTTATTTTATATTTTTTCGGGCCAATTTTACACCGAATTCATCCAATAATTGGAATTGTAAAGCTGCAAACTACGATTTTGTGTATAATTTGAATTAATTTTCCTTTTTGATACAATTCTACGATCCAAAAGTGAAAATCAATCCAGATCATGGTTTTAACGACCATGGTGTAAAGTGTTCGATTTGAATGATTTCAAACCACATGCTACCATATGACCATATCCCAAACCGAAACCGACTGGTTTAAAACCACCATTGCGTCTCGCACTTCATTTTTTTATTTTTTTTTTCACACAATTAGTTCATTGATTATAAAATGTTTCTTGTTTAATTTTATGAAACTAAAAGTTGAAAGGGTCGTAGCATAAAACAGCTCATGAAAAAGAGCTAGACTAGAGAGTGAGCTTTTACTGTGCAGAATTTTGTTTCCAGAGTTTCCAACTGATTATTAGTGTTGTTTGGAATCTGCAACACAGGTGATCGATTAACATTATGTACGAATTGAAGAACAACGAGACCATGAGCGACCATCATATCATCCAATTAAAAGTCAAAATAGGAGTAAATTTGACTCTTCAAATTACCTAAATTACAAATTTCAATTGATTTGCACCAAACATGTAAGTAAAACCCAGACGAAAGTATCAAGGACATCTCCAAATACATACACATATACCTAGATATAAATATTGATAATTTCGTCTAGCTTCTAGAAAATGCATAAAAAGCTTCCAAAGCAAACGAAGTGCAGAAAGGAGGGAAATTCTTCATATTAGATACATCTGGCTAAAGCTACACAAAATTAGTAAATTATTTGAGACATTGCAGTATGTAAGAGGGAAAAATATCGCCATCCCTGAATACTAACCTAAGTTACGTCATCTATGAACACAAGAAGCAATAGAAAGAACCAGGCATCAGTTACCTATCTGGGAAAAGCAGCGCTCCTCAACTTGATCAGGAGAGATTATGTGCCTTCAGTGCGTTTGCACACTTCTAACAATGGATTACAACACGCAAAATCCTATCACTATTTCTCAACGCTTTAGTTTTCCATTTAAAGACCTTTTCTCCAATGGTCTCACCTTGTCAAGCAATTCTTGGATGGTATTTGATGCCTCCTATATAAAAGGAGAAAAAACATAAGGTAATTTAGACGTCTGATTCTGCATTGAAAATTTGCAAGAATAAAATCATAAATGGGGAAGGGAAACAAACCTTCAATTTCTTTCTCAAATTTTCTTCCTCCGTATTTCGACGCTCCCTTTCTTCTGAGAATATATCAATAAAACTATCTTGTTCTTTGACCAGTTCCTGAATTTTTCGATTTGCCTCGTGCAGCTGATCAAATCAAAACAGTATTTCAATTGCAAACCAGCAAAACAAATCTCTCTCCGACTTTTCTATTCCTTCATTTTTCCCGCAGGAGAGTGGGGGCCAGGGTGGGGGTTAAGTGTGGGTGGGAGGGGTGGAGTTCAAATGTTGAAGTCCGAAAATATAAGACAAGAATTTCTAATTCACAATATCTTCTTCCCTAGACACCATCAATCTCTATATTAACTCCAAAACAAAAATAATGAGAATTATTTACTAGGGCGTATATATAATTCTTAAGCAAGAAAAATCCAATATTACATCATGTCACCAACGATAAAAGGGTGCTATAATAATAAACCTTAGCTTCAAGTGATTTGCATTTATCCTTTTCTTTCTGTAGATCATGCAGCAGGTCACCTAGAATCTCTTCCTCTTTCCGTTGTAGTCTATGAAATCAGAAAAAGTGAATCAGTTGTTGAGGTGATAAATGTCAGCTGAGCATGTGGTAGATTCACCATTAAAACAGACTAAGCACCTTTCTCTCAGATCTCGATTTTCTTCTTTCAACCGTTCCATTGTTTCAGAACTGGATTTCGGAAGAGATAACTCTTCTCTATTATAACCATCTTCCTGTAAATTAAATGGCATATTGAAAATAAACTCAAAATTCATTTCAAAATTTCATTCATTTCTTAAATACTTTGGCAATCAATCTGAAAATTATAGTTCATGGATGTATGCTACACAGTTAACTAAAGAGAGAAGGTATGTGTGTTACAAGGCAATGAGAGAAGTAGAACGAGGGAAGCCAAGATAACAACAAAACATTACTGGAACTTCCCTGCAACTATTAAACTTTGCTAGTAACTACTTTGCACCTCACTCCTCTACTATTGCTTTTTCAGGACAAACAAATTACATCTAAAAATACAGAAATTTTCGATATGCAATCATTTTTGTTAAATTTTTTCATATCTTATATTTTCTGGATAATTTAGCCATTAAAGTAGCCTTCATTTTCAATTCAAGGACAACGAACTGCAAGTCTCAAAAAGGGTGCTCGTTGCCCAATGACTATCACTTATTCTAGTGATTACAAAGTCATGCAGAATACATATATCAACCGCATGAATACTGCATTGACAGAATCTATAACAACAAACATAATGGTAACTCTCAAATGCTAGGATAAAATTACTACATATAAAATCGGCTCACTATCAAATAATCCATGTCAAAAGGTTTTAAAACAAGTTTGTGGAAAACAATCGTTATACCATTCTATACTACTTGTTTCTGATGTACGAAAAACAATGGTTCAAGAAGGACTGGTATCAAAATGGGTTGAGGCAAATTGTTTTTTCCTTGGTACGAGGTAATCTCTTTCACTCTTAACAGTGGGTTTTTATGATAAACAATGGATCAAGAAGGATTGGGGGGGAAATTGGTATGAGGTTTTCCTCTTTCACTTTTGACATTGGGTTTTTCTAATTCCATGATTTTCTAGATCAGCAGCCTCTACTGCACCAAAACGAAGTGTGTTACTTCAAATCCTAAACGTCCCAGATTCACAAGCACTTCATCTTTTCACGTGGTGGTTTCTGCTTATTACAAATTAGTGATTCACAGAGAGTCGTGGACACTTTTGTCTTGAAGCACACAAAAATGAGCTATTACCTAACCTGGTTCACCATAACTTTGACTCAGTATATTTTGTAAATCAACTACCAAATTGGAATGTTTATATTCAGACATAAAGCAAACCCTACTCAGCAGAGAGATGGGGAGAAGTATCAAGGTAATCTACAAATCTTGTCAGAAATTGTGCGAGCATCAAAATAACCTCCAGATTCACAGATTCAAACACTTGATCCATTGGGTAATTAGGATAGATCTTATCCAATATATATTATTGTATCACAATCATTACCTTGCAATTATAAAAAGGAATGCGCCAGTTAGAATTTTCTAGCAATACTTGAGTAGAAGGAGAAGCTACCTGGGACCTTAAATTTCTGGTTGTTCGGTCAAGCCTTACGTCAGGCAACTTATTTCCTGAAGCTTCACTGTATTTCAAGCCAGAGGGCATTGGAGATCCATCTTTTCCAGATAATTTCCTAGAGGATAAGCCATTGACTCGATTCCTGTAAATGTTAGTTTGCACATCTTTGTAACTGACATCCTCACCAGAAGAATCAAAATGTCCTAATCATATGAGAACTTGTAAGTAGAACTTTGGATTGTGATATATCAGCGTGTACACCTTAGTGAAATTTTTCTCTATTCTTTTTATGTTTTCTCAGTGTGGGATTGTGGAGGGAAGACCACGGCTCCGTTTCATATCTCTTTCATAAGCTTTCTTATTTCGTCGTCAAGAATAGCCAATGTGGTGACAATTTGATGACCTAAAGCAATACAAAAATTATAAGCATTAAATACCCATAGAAGTTAAGGAAAGGAGACAATAGGAGGAAAACAAATGTCTGCAGCACACTAGAAACAAACCAATATGTCTTTTGCATCTGTATCAATTGTGCCTCCAGTCTTGCAAGAACTGTAGTACGCTCGAACCCTTGCTTATCATGTGCTGGTTCAACAAAATTGGCTTCCAGCACACCTGATAGGAAGATGTACAACATTATGCAACTAAGCATAATGAAATTTATGGAAGTAAACAGGACAGAAGACTACCTATAACTCCACGACCATCACTACCAGGAGCATGCCAAAGTCTCCAAAATGGCTGGAGAAATAGAAAAACTTGATAACAGGTATGCATTAAATCACATGGGCCATGAATTGACTCCATAAGTTCCACATATACCAACCAGTATGAGAAAAACTAAATGCTAATTGTGAGAAGCATGACCTAAGTTGACAAATCTCAGAAAATACAAAAGATACATGACCCCAGTTTGGCCCCCATTTTCTAAAACTCATTTTTCATCAAATTCATTTTCAAACACATATTTCATGGGACCCACATCAACTTTTCAACCACATTTCATCAACTTTTATCAAAATCTACTAAAAATCCAATTTTTAGCTAAACCAAACAGGGGCATAGTAAACTATATGTAACTACTAATATTGACAGATGTAATCAGATCACAACGCAAAGGAACAGAAGCCAGACCTTAATTTAGTCGATATGTGGCGAGCATTTAACATTTCATATATAGCAAGGACTACAAGGAAACAGAAGACAAACCTTAATGAGTCGATTTTTGTGATAAACATTAAAACCTTGAACATCAATATGCGCTTTTGCATCCTTTACAAACCCAATAGTGACAGAAGCAACCATCTAATAACAAAGAAAAAAATATAGTCACCAGATTTGCACGTTAGCTATGATAAAGTAACTCTCAACCAAATATCATTATGACAAAAATTACATTAGCAACTTTTGGGACCCCATCAGTTCCAGGCTGTGGACGATAAGTAACCTCCTGGGACATCATCATGTCATTCACTATATTATGGTGTTCAACATCTTTCCCGCGGAGAATAATTCGAAAGCTAGGAGGAATTCTGAGGTAGAGAATAGATGCATAGCTCTGCAATTTGAAGATGCAATTTATTTAACACAAAATTGAGAAAAAAAAGGAGGAAAACAGACAGATGTACTAGTATTACAGCCAAAGCAAGAAATTTCTAAGCATCCCTGCCTCTAAAGCTCCAAAAGTCACAAGGGTAACAGTGAAAAGAAACTAACATGATAACAGCATCCACTCACCCTCAATGAATGCCGATATGTAAGAAAGTGCCTGGAGTTGGGATATAGCTGTGCCATTTTTATGTTCTTCTCATCTCTGTTGACGCCTCGGATTTGGATATCCTGCAGGGAAACAAAACCATAACAAATGGAAGGATCATTTCCGAAACAAGTATCAGATGAAAAATGAGGAATATCCACAAATAGCAAGCAGATAGTACATGTGGATCGGTGTCAAAATCAAGTTCCAATAGACCCTGGTCATCCTCCCATAGATTATACACGATTATCCGTGTACCGTGATCCTTCATCTGATTAAACTACAAAGAAAAGGGCAAAGTTAGAATTTATGTTGCAAACATGCAAACAAGGGCCAACCAAGTGACGACAACCATAGAACAAAATAGCGAATAGGTAAACATCAACAAATGCAACATGTACAAAGTGATGCCATAAGCAGAGGTCTGACACCGACGGAGGTCAGACGTACATTCTGTCAGAATGTCTTTGAAATTCTTCGGTAACCCCAATAGAATAATCAAATCTATTCAAATAAGACAGAGTATGACTTCCCATCAATCTTGTGGCCTTACATTTATCACTTCAACGTCTAATCTCGATATTCATTTTCTTAGTGACCAATAATTTCTTGTTGATAGAGATTTCACAGGTCACCTTCCCATCCCCCACAAACCAAAAGGTAAAACCAAGTTAACCACGTTCACCTATTTTGCATGGATGTAAAATATGTACCACAGACTCTAAAGCTATTTGAAGTTGACAAGACAACTCAATCTTAGGAAAGATAAGCCTAGCCTGAAACTACTCAAAATGGCTGGTTAAGCAAAGTTCGCATCACAGGTAGTTATAAGGCCTGCAAGATGGTCTAATTGCGCTTTTGTTCTATTATCCATATGAGCAAACATTTTATAATTCAATTACACATACATTTGGTATTTTAGCATATAATATTAGCTATTTCATAATCCATCTCAAAATGAATATCCTACGAGGCTGCAAAGTTAGTTCCTTTTTGGAACACACAGGTACAGGAGTTATTTAACAAATAGTTTTTTAGTTGTGTTTTTCTTTCTATGCTGACCTTTTGTAGTCAAAAGGAAACTTTATATCTACAATTTGATCTATCAATGTCTTGAATCCAAAATTTCCTAATGTCAGTATCATGCGTGAAATGTATTGTTATGTAAATGTTTCTCCCTATAAATATTTACTGGTGCAAGTACTACTCCAAAAACAACTGTCTAACAAGCCATTCAATCTGAAAATAGAGCCAAGTAAGGCAGCAAATATAAAATTTTGCAATGACAATNCGGAGGTCAGACGTACATTCTGTCAGAATGTCTTTGAAATTCTTCGGTAACCCCAATAGAATAATCAAATCTATTCAAATAAGACAGAGTATGACTTCCCATCAATCTTGTGGCCTTACATTTATCACTTCAACGTCTAATCTCGATATTCATTTTCTTAGTGACCAATAATTTCTTGTTGATAGAGATTTCACAGGTCACCTTCCCATCCCCCACAAACCAAAAGGTAAAACCAAGTTAACCACGTTCACCTATTTTGCATGGATGTAAAATATGTACCACAGACTCTAAAGCTATTTGAAGTTGACAAGACAACTCAATCTTAGGAAAGATAAGCCTAGCCTGAAACTACTCAAAATGGCTGGTTAAGCAAAGTTCGCATCACAGGTAGTTATAAGGCCTGCAAGATGGTCTAATTGCGCTTTTGTTCTATTATCCATATGAGCAAACATTTTATAATTCAATTACACATACATTTGGTATTTTAGCATATAATATTAGCTATTTCATAATCCATCTCAAAATGAATATCCTACGAGGCTGCAAAGTTAGTTCCTTTTTGGAACACACAGGTACAGGAGTTATTTAACAAATAGTTTTTTAGTTGTGTTTTTCTTTCTATGCTGACCTTTTGTAGTCAAAAGGAAACTTTATATCTACAATTTGATCTATCAATGTCTTGAATCCAAAATTTCCTAATGTCAGTATCATGCGTGAAATGTATTGTTATGTAAATGTTTCTCCCTATAAATATTTACTGGTGCAAGTACTACTCCAAAAACAACTGTCTAACAAGCCATTCAATCTGAAAATAGAGCCAAGTAAGGCAGCAAATATAAAATTTTGCAACGACAATCAGAAGTGATGCAAAACATACATAATTGTGGCACCCCGCCCCACCCACTTTTGAAAATCTCAAGAGTTACATAACTGTTTGCGTTATATGAGCATAATCTTAGCTCCAATCTAAACTTTGTTTACTATGAAATACACGTACTGATGTCCCAATCTTCTATTCTCTCCTCCCTATTTGCATATAAAGGATGGACTTAAGCACGTGTAACACGTACTAACAAGTTAAAACAGGAACTACATTTCCTTGCCACATCAAATAGTTTGTAGGCAAATCATCTAAAAGTACAAAAGTATTTGTTATCCGTTTTATTGTTCAAATGATACAGGGCTCCGAGCAGTCTACAGTTGAACTATTCAAAAACAATGGGAACAATACCAACAAAGAAAAATCACCTGCCGAATAAGATCTGCTTCACTTGAAAATGGAGACCATTGGACTATTGTTTCAACATTTATATTCCAGTCACCCGCAGAAGGTCGAACTATCTTATGCCATTCTTGTCCTCTTCTTTCATAATCAAGCTTATGATCATTAAGAAAAATCAACAAGCACATAAGCATAAATAAGATAGTGATAATTAAAAACTAGCAAGCAAGAGTGCAATAATCGCTGAAAAATATAAACTGAAAAAAACTTAGTGCCTGTTTGATTCCCATTAATTGGAAAAAAAAAAGAGTTTGAATAGTATTTTTAGGAGAATGTGTGGTTAAAAAGTATGGAAGAGTTTTGGAAGAACGTATAGAATATTTTATTGTGTGAATGCGTGGTTGAAAATGATCCTATAGCAAACCATAAAATAAATTTATGGGAATCAAACAGGCCTTTAGTTTTATAGGTATCGTACAAAGACGGACTTCCTGATGCTGTGATTTTTTTAGAATAAATTTTGTAAAAAGTGATTTTTTTAGGAGAATTTATGGTTAAAAAGTGGTGAAAATTATAGATCTACGTGCAAAATTATTTAATTGAGAATATGTGGTTGAAAATGAGTTTAGCAAAAAATGGTTTTTAAAGAATCTTTATCAAACAGGAGCTAAACAAGCTGAGCAAACATTATCTGAAAATTAAATATTACATTAATAAAGATGCCCTGGAAATCTACGCTTTTAACTAATAGCGCATGGTATCACATAAACAAAAGTCAAAAGGACCCTTATGAGGCATAACAGGGTTCTATTTTAGAACCCAGACTAACTATTCATAGGTTTGCTCCTCAATGAAAAATTCTCTTCTAAAATAAATGGTGCGCTGACGAAAAGGATTCATTGAAGTTAACATATTTAACCCCGTTGACTTAGAGTAAACCTATATGTCCAATGTTATTTCAAAAACATGCACATAACCCTTAGAAAAAGCCTCTAGTTAAGTGCATAACTAAGGGAACCACACACTTTAAGCATGTATTTAAAGATAAACACTAGAGCTCTGCTATGAATGTAGAACAGAAATAAAACCTACCAATGTGCAATTCACATACTTTCTTTCGTTTCTGCTGCTCTTAAATCTGTGAGAATATTTTTTTACTATAATGCATTTATTCCAAACCAGTCCACGGCAATCGGTTTTCATTCCAAGAATTCCGAAAACCTTCAATAAAATAATTTTGCAACTCTTGGACATACATTATAACTATTGAATAACCAAGTCCTCTGTCCAGATTTGTTTTTTTATGTTTTACAACTATTGTTCTTTGTGTTTTATCTTTTTATAACTATTGTTTAAGGTATGCACTATGAAACAATATTCATAGTTGTATAGAATCAAACTTCTCAATAAATCATAGAAATCAGACATTTAGAGTGTGTTTGATGCACATTAAAATGGAAAGAATGCATTTTTTTTTTTTTTGTAATGTAATGGTGAATATGTGGTTGAAAAAGAGGGAAAAATTATTGATGTGATGAAAAATATTATTTTATTGAAGAATGTGTGGTTGAAAATGAGTAGAAGAATGAGAATGTGTCTCAAACAGGGGCTTAATAAGCAATTCAAGGCAAAAATGAAAAGTAGATATTTCAAGATAGCAACAATGGCTCTTACAAATTATTTTAGTTAACTACTCACCATGGGAACCAAAATATCTTCTTTTCCTGTGCTTCTCAAAAATGTGTATGACAATAATCCAATGCTTTGCGTGAGCCTAAAATCAAATTTAAGAAATGATATAAGTTTGGCCAAATTGCAGTAAACAGTTCGTTGAAGATGAAATATATCACCAGGGTCATTCATCATCTCTACATTTGGATCTTTAAGTAATCTTCTTTACTACTAAAACATTCAACTGCATGTCACGTCACATAATATTGGACAAAATTTTCTAATAAGAGTAAAGAATATAAACCTTTTCCCTCCTCCCCCAAAAGATCGTGAGAAGACAATAACATCAGCTCCAAGCCTCATGGTACTTGTTTTAAAGCCATTTCCATCTGGTACAAAGAGCACCAGATAAATCAATAGGCAAACTAAAAGGTACAATAGAAGGCAGCTATTAT